CAACATTTTCATAACACTACATGTCAACATATATTTTTTAAAGTGAACTATTCATACATACATACCTATGTATTGTGACGAAGTCACTAAAATTCCCATTAATTTATTCCATAAATTAATTTCTAAAATTAATTTCCGTCTATGAACATTTTCAAGACCCCCTGTAACTAATGTTTCCATAGAATTACCGTTTTTAAATCTTTACAAGAGCCCTCGTAGTTTAAAACTTTTCAATATCACAATAATGTAAATCGTCTCGTAAAATTGCAATAGTAGTAGATTTTATCAGTAAGCTGATCAATTAACGTTTTTTTTGCAATAACAATTTATTTCCTCTAGGTGGGGCTACCGCCCCACTCCGGCAAAAGTACGAATTCTGATAAAACTAAATGTTTGCGATGAAGGAGCCCTCTTTTCCTGCTGCTACCGTCAGTTCGATAGAAAAAGTTGTCTTGCTGAAGTGCCGTTTTTACCGAAAGCGATTTTTGTGAAAAGTTAATTAAGGTAGGCCTTTTTATTTAAAATTCCGTCTAATAATTCTCCCTGTAACATTCACTTCCGTACTATTAATTACATGAGCTATTCGACCGATATTTTTGATTTCTTAGTACCTGTCAGGGTAACGAATTGTATTTAATCCGGGGCGTTAGTGCCTTCAACCATTTTCGTGTTAACCAAGGGATGATAGTGGTATTCGCTTGCTATCCCTGTCGAGAGTCGCAGTTGTTTCTGTTTTGTAGAAGCTATGGATTCCCAGATGTCTACATAAGAGAAATTTGAAACCGAATAAATAAAATAAAAATTCTCAAAGTATTGGTCGAATAATACCGCTTTAAGACACCCGTTATTTGGTCTATTGTGCCTAGTAAAATAATATTGCGGGGAGGATATTAGACGTCGTTCTTACAAAGGCATCCGTCATTTTTTTCTCTCATGAGTGGAGGGTGATAATGTTCACCACCGTTGGCCGATTACCGATATTTTTTTTATTACTGAGAGTAGCTTATTAATTTTTTTTATTTTTAAAACGTATAGTTTGAATCATATTTAGTTTTACTATTGTAGATTTTTCTCTTATGGCTAAAACCGGCCGTTTTCATTAATAGCAAGGAATTTGTGCTAAGGGTGTTAGTGCCCACCGTTTTAATTTTTTTAAAGGGAAAATTGTTATTTTTATTTTCTTATGGGTATAGTATAGGTCATAGTTAATTTTACCGTTTTATCATTTCTGTAAATACCGAGACCTTTTATTTTATCAACATACATAATTCTGCATTTATTTTATTACCGTTATTAAACAGATATATATATATATATATATATATATATATATATATATATATATATATATATATATATATATATATATATATATATATACCGATTTCACCCCGTTTATTTTATTTTTAATTATTATTTATTTCATTTATTTTGTAAATATAAATTTGATTGAAATTCCTGAGTTTAATTTTGAATTACGCCTTTGCTTTTTCCGTTTTCAGGGCGTAGTGATTAATAGGTAAAAGTGCAGTGAAAAACTTTATTTACTTTACTACCCCCAGTGTAGGTCAACTTAACAGTGAAGGTCTATCCGTTTTATTTTTTTTTGTTTGTACCTGGACTCCACTGAGTCTACTAAGGGTGTACTCTACGTGCACCCCAGGGCCGCAGAGCAAACTGCGATATCAAAACTGGCGCCTGAGCAACCCCTATTCGGGAATTACATTCATAGCGCCACAGACTCGCTGAAGCACTGTAGGTGAATCAGGAGACCTGTCACAGTATTAATTTTAAGTATTTTAAAAATATTTTTTGTGAAAGTAATGTTAACTCATTGTGCCAAATTAAGATTATCCCTAAAGTAGTAGTGTTTAAATGTTATAACAATTTTGTAAATAGTTTTATTCTGTTCTAATAAATAAAATTTGCTTAAATATTTAGTTACATTTTAATCATTTTGGTTAGAAATTCATCAATTTTTAGTTTTCAAAAATCAGTAATATTTTTTTCTAAAATACTTCGGAATTCATCTCTTCATGATAATCTCCCATCTTTTTACCTTCAAAAACCAATAATGCATTTTCTACAAAACCTTCAGAATCAGCATGTAAAAAATAAGGTGTCTTCCCTTTCTTGTAAGGCTTTTAGCAATTGCTACCTTTAAAATTACTCAGTGTAGAAGGATCCATAATTGTAGATTTTCAATACAATTGCTTACTGAAGAACTATTATTTACAAAATAAAGTAAAAAACTAAGTAATGGATGAGATCTCAAATTATAAAATGTCAGAACTGTCAACAATATCAATTATTAGCTGATGTTCATGCTAAAAAGTAATGTGTGAAACTGACTGTAATCTGACCAATCAGAAGGCTACAGAATTGCCAACTTAAATTCAAATCGCTCCTCTTAGTTTTAAAACAGAGTATAGTTAATAATTATATATGTATCATTGACCCTGTTAATGACAGCATGACAACAGGGTTGCCATATCTAAACTGTCATTACCCACTGGTAGCCATTTGGACAGGTTGTTGGAATGCCTAATTCGTTTTTGTGAACAAAATTAGTAGTTATTCGTTGCATTCAAATTTGACAGCTCCTAAAAACTATTGACAAATAAATTTTCAAATATGCCGCAGCATTTAACTGAGGCTCAAAAGTCGAGGGCTATAGCAAAATTGGAAGAAAATTAGTCTTATATAGTGAGTTGCATAAAAGAAGATTACATTTTAAATCCAAGATAATGTTGGGATGTCGCTATCGCAGGAAAGTATTTAGGCCACAGTTGATTCCAAAGATTTTAATGTAAAAATATAAGGTTTTACTTTTGACAATCCTTTTTTATTTTTTAAAAAGACATTACATCAAAGTCAAAAACTAGTGAACAGTACATAAAAAACAATACAAGATTAACATAAAATCTCTAACAATTCTTCTTAATTAAAAGCCGTAAAAAGTTTTAAACCAAGCTCGTTGGCATATTTTAAATGTTTAGTTCTTGATAATCCCTTCGTAAATATGTCTGCACCCATTTCACTTGATTGAAGATATTTAATTTCAACCCATTTGTTTTCAACTATTTCACGAAAAAAATGATATCTATGTTTTGTTCGATTGTAAAAAAACAGGATTCTGCGATAATTTTAAAAAACTTTGATTATCGCAATAGAGAAGAATCTGCTGGTCACTGCTAAGTAACTCTTTAACCAAACCTCTTAAGTGGATTGCTTCTTTGCAGGATTCACTTAAGGCCATGTATTCCGCCTCTGTTGACAAAAGAGCGACAGTAATCTGTTTCTTGCTTTCCCAAGATATTAGTCCATTTCCTAATTTAAAAATAAATCCTGTGTAAGAATGGCGATCTGCTTCTTGGTTGGCCCAATCAGCATCTACAAAACCAGTGACTCTTTTGTCAGTTGTTGGTTCATACATCAAACAATGGTTTAATGTCCCTTTCAAATAACGCAGAACTCTTTTTGCACATTTTCCAGTGCTGCTCTTTGAAGCATGAGTTAAATTGACTTAAAACACTACAAATGTGTAATATGTCCAAACGACAACTCATAGCGATGTACAATAGACAGTCAATTAAATTTTGATAAGGTACGTTAACTATATTTCCGGACATTCCATCTTTATATTTTAAATTAAATTAACTTCTTTAAAACTTCTTTGATATAGCTCTCTTGATCGATTATAATTCTGTCTCCATCATATCTTACTCTCGGGATGAGAGTTTAGTGATTCCTAAGTCTTGGTTCTTCTTTTTAGGCTTAAACTTACCATCGTAGATTCAGAACTACTTTGTTTATTGTCCAATGGGTGTCTTGAAGCAATTTAATTTTCACAAAATCACTCGTAATTTTAGCTTCTGAGTTCTCTATTGCCATAATCATAGGGTCGTAATCAGAAGGCAGACCTGCTAATAGTGCGGCACCAAGAAACTCGTCTTCTACGAGCTTTTCCATAATTGCAAGAGCCATTTGAATAGACACACTCTGTGGTGCTCGCGTCTCGTTTGGCGAGCACACAAAGAACTTCCAACATTTTATGACATTTTTGTTGCTCTTTCATGTTTGACGTTTTATGTCATTATTTTTATTTTTTTGTTATATGCGTCTTGAGAGTGGCAACCATCTGGTCTCTTCTTTTTCAATAACGTACCTGTTATTTATGAAGCTATGCTTATTTCCATTTGTAAATATTTACAGGATTTTCCACCAGGATAGAAGAACGAAGTAGACAAGAAATTGAGAGCCAGCCATATATAAAGGACCGCCGTTCCTATGCTGAGACAGTAGAAAGACAGCAGACAGAAAACAAGCATTTTCCAAACATCACGAACCAATCCAAATTTTATAATTCCGATTATACCATTTTTATATAGTTTTTTCTGATTAAATTTTTTTCTAAATTAGTTGTAGCCATTACTCCAAAGGATTTAGTGGTCGCCGACCGGGACCACTAAATGTTGGTGGAAAAAAAAATAATAATGACATAAAACGTCAAACATGAAAGAGCAACAAAAATGTCATAAAATGACAAACGAGACGCGAGCACCACACATTCATTCACATAACTTTCCATAGACGTGAAATGAGCACATTGAACAAAGCAAACGAACTCGTCTATTTAAGCTTTTATCCTAAAAAGCTTTTTCTAAATTCTCCCACATGTCCTTCGCAGTTTAACAACTTCTAATGTGAGGATAACAACAAGGCATAACCATTAAACCTATTTTGGTTAAGGCTTTTTGGTCGCTTCTGCTTCTTGTAGTCTGATCAGTTTTATCATCAAGAGGATAACCATCAACAGCATTCCATACATTCAAATATTTCAGGTACCACTCCATACCATACTTCCACTCTTGATAATTCTCCCGTCATACTAATTTGGTAATAGGAGGAAGGGACGATATATTTTCTAGATTACTACATTTCAGGCCCATAACCTGTTGGAATATCGACCTGTTGGGATGTCGGTGTCGCAGGAAAGTATTTAGGCCACAGTTGACATTACATCAAAGTCAAAAACTAGTAAAGAGTACATTTTATCTATGATCTATGAATATTTATTATCTCTAGATTATAAAATCCTATAAATTTTTGAAAATCGCCAGCAAATTTTGTTGTACTTTGGTACACGCATTTCAACTTTTAGATAGAATACGGTGAAGATGTTTGGAACGAAATAAAAAAGGTAGCAAACTGCGAGAACCAAGTATTCAACACGCACCAAGTTTATCCAGACCATACCTTGAGTGATCTAGCTATAGCTGCTGCGACCGTTTTGGGTGCTTCCTATGACAGTTTCATGAACTTTTTCGGGCGGTGCTTTGTGAGGTTTTTCACCAACTTAGGGTAAGAATTTCTAAACAGAATCGTACTTATGTCCATACCATCCAATAAATCAAATATATCTATATAAATTAAAGTTCGTCAGAGCTCAGTTTCGGGACCTATGCTTTTTCTTTTTAAGTATGTTAATCAAACTAATGTCGATAAAACGTTTTCATTGGAAAGATTATAAATTATTATACATTTTTATATTTTTCAATAGAATTCTAATTATATTTTTAGATATGATGTTACTATTAAAGGCACTGGTCGATATTTTACTGACTTTTTAGAAAGTGTCGATAATATTCATACCCAATTTCGTTTTACATATCCAAAAATGCAGAGCCCGTCGATGTATTTGACAGATATTGACGCTAATGGTTGCGTCTTGGTATACAGAAGTGGCAGAACAGGTTTCACCCAGTATATAATGGGTTCGTATTCATGTATACTCTAGAATAATAGCATAATATAGGTAATATCAGTTTGATATCTGTATTATTTTTATTTTTTAGGACAATTGGTGCAGATTGCTAAAGATTTTTACAATTTGCCTCTGGGTGTCAAAGTTTTGGAGAAAGCATCTTCAGCTAGTGGGGCTAGAAGTTTTGTAATAGTAACTTTTAGACTTAATTATGATAATAGACCATATGTAAGTGTTCACTTATTTAATGATGAATGTTTTCGTTATAATAATAATAATCAAATCTACTGCCATTTTATTACACAATGGATCAACTTAAATCTTCTTTAGATGCTCCATAAATCCCGTAAGGATTCGTTCCACACCAGCGGACTTTTAACTCCGTTTTCCAGCGAGGTTCTGCTAGAACTGTTTCCGTTTTGCTTAATAATAGACAAAAAGATGAATATCATTGCTTGCGGTAACAAATTCCTGGAAATATGGAGAGGAAAGGAAAATTTCTTCGACAAATCCATTACAAATTATTTTCGACTGAGAAGACCAAAGGGTATATCGTTCACTTGGAAGAACGTAAGAAGGATTTTTATTTAAAAAAAAATTATTTATGATACAACTGAAGGGCACAGGGCAAAAGAAAGAAAACAAAATTTAAAACGATAGAAATCCGACGCTTTTGAAGCTTTTCCAGACAAATATTTTTTTATATTTAGTTCAATATGTACTTTTTTTTATAGCTAAAGTAATGGTATGATTGTATTTTTATTTTGTAGTTAGTTATTTTTTATTTAAACAAAATGTTGACTGAGTGGGTTTTTCCTCTGGACAGAAAAAAACTAAATTTTTTAAATGCTTTATTTCAATATTATAGGCATTTCTACATGATAAAGAACATAAAGAACAACATAAAGAACTATATAAAGAACAATATAATCCATAAACTATAGACTAAAATAATCTGATTTCTAAAAATCACTTTGTTCATCAGGCACATCATCTGATTCTGGTTCGGGTACAGGCCGGTTAGCAGAGAGAAGTTGTCTGTAATATTCTTTAGATCCCTCTTCTTCACAGAATTTCATTAGAACTTTTAGATCAGCACACTTTTCTCTGGGCAGAGGTATAGGGCTATGGTAGAGCTGGTTGGGTTCTTTAAGATCTGTTGATCTTTTATCAATGATGACATGTAACTTCCGTTATATGTTTCCCTATGGTCGATTTTGCTTTTTGTTTGAATGAACATTAACTGTTTTAGTTGCCTAATAGGAAAAGAGAACTTTTTCTTGTACAACTTGGAGGACAAAAAATTACCCCATCCTTTAAACATAACTTGTTCACATGAAACCACAACAAACGGATGCGGCTTGGTTCGGGCGGCTTCTATAACCTCTCTCCAGCCATCTGGAGTTTCAGCCTTAGCACTTTTGGGGATCAACCCCATATTTTGTCGGGCGCCATGAAGGAATGGCTGCGCACTGGGTATAAGTGATTGTCACAGTGTCAAATCTTTTTAGATCAGCAGTTACGTAGTGGAGGAACTGGATGATGGTGTGGTTTTTGTTTTGTCCTTCGCGCGAATCGGCGAAGACATAAAGTTTCTTAACAGCAGGATCCAGGTAGGTGTTGAAAAAATGATAGAGCATTGAAACAACATCATCTGTCCCTTTCTTTGCGACGGTTTGGTCGAAGGTGTACATTACTGAAGCACCAGTTGACAAAATATGCCCATTGAAAATATAGAATGACAGCTGTCTTTTGAAGTACACCTCAGCAGAAGTTATATTCGGAGTAGGGAGATTTTTCCGAAATCTATAGCGATAGTCTCTACAGTTGACGATTTTCTAGCTTCAGTTTTTGCACGCCATTTCAATACATAGAACCAATCTCCTCTCTTCAAATGAAGTGTCTTCTCAGTGTCTAGCTTCCTACCTTCCTCATCTAACTTTACCTTTTTGTCATCACTTTATTCAACGGCAATTTTCCTATTCAGCTCAGTAATTTTGGCTTTCTGATCATCACACCAACAGCACGTTTCGGTTCGTGGATAACCGAAATACGATATTGAACTCCGACACAAATATTTGCCTGAATGTTTCATAACATATTTCAATATGGGGCTGTTCAGTCAAAAATAATGCAAGAAGCTTTTTAACATTCATATCTTCCGGGAGGTATACTCTGTTAGAGTCCTTCAAGTTGTAGTGCGTTTTACGTCCCTTTAAGAAGCCAAAAAAACTGCAATAACAACTCACGGGACATATTATGAGGTCTATTGGTATGCTGTCCCCCTCTCCATCAATCGGCGACTCGCCAGTTGTTCTTAAAGATGTTTTGATTGTATGTAATCGAAAGGCTTTAATTCCAAAAAGTGATTGAAATGCTTTAAAACATACTGACACCTCTTCTGCTCTGCCATTCCTAATAACTCTTACTTTGTTGCTGTAGGAGCTTTCATTTAATCTAGCATCTTCTTCATTTTGCCTTGGCCTTCGTCGAAAAACAGGTCGTAATGAGATAAGGCCAGATAAGTAACTATTTACTATTCTCACGTATTACTAACTCACTTTGTTTGGCGACAGAAATATCCTCAAAGCACCTATACTGCTTGCATTGGCAGCTTTTTCCGGTTTCAAACGTCGAGGCCCTTAGCTTCTTAGCAACATCTCTAAGGCGGCCATATTTTTTACGCTTTTTCGTTGACTTTTCTGTATTAACACTTATATTTATGTCACTATCCGATATTTTAAACAATCTTACTTGCTTCACTAAACACAGCTGAAGGCTGAAGCGTAGCCGACTAGCTAATGCAGAATTTTGGCTTCTTGATAAAGGGAGAAACTACACATTTTAATATTTTATGGACTGTGTTGGTTATTCCTATTTTTCAGGTGGACTATGTTGGTTTTCCCCTGCAGTATATATGTATAATCTTGAATATCTCATGACTCCGTTTGTTGTTCCCCTTGATGATTTCCCATAATCAAATACAAGGCGGAAAGAATGTATTGAAATGCTTATCTCATTTTTTTCATTTTTGGATTCCTTTGGTTTTTGCGCTGTATCCTTCAACTGTTAAAAGTTAAATAATTTAATTTTGTGAGAAAGAAACAAATTATAAAGACGAAATATTCATATCTCAAAGTGGTTCGAAGTAGATTGGGAAGAAATGAGAAAAACGCAATATCTGTTAACCAAAGAATCTTTAGTAAGATTCTTTCAAACATGTTAAAGCTCGCTAATGGTATCTATCTCTTTTTTAAAGTTGGATTCTGAATGATCAAAGCTCTATGCAAGAAAATGTAAGAAAGTTGCTTTTTTATGTTAAAAATCCATGTTGTTTTAGATACATGTTAACACCAACATCAATCCAAGAGGTGAGTCACTATTAAAATTCATTCTAGGTGAAGGGTAAGAAATTGCCAATAAAGGCAACAACATAACTTTTGTCACTGCCAACCCAAAAGAAGTTCTAATATGATCATATGCGAGTGGCACAAATGACTAAATTAGGAATTGGCATGTGTCCGATGAACAATCGTGTTCAGATCACAGACATATCCGATTCCTTATACAATGTCCAACTTGTACAATAGACAGGTTTAGAATCCCGAGAGGAGTCTCTCAAGGGGGAAACCACTAATGTACGAAAAATAAAAACACTCTAAAGGACAATAGAATTGGTAAATAAGGCAAATAATGATGCCTATTAAGAAAATTGCCAAACTAGGAAGACAGCCTGGTGGAATGAAAACCTAGATTGCCTGAGAGACGAATTGCGAATGTTATTCAACAGAGCCAAATCCACCCAAGACTGGACTACTTATAAAATTAGCTCAGGCAGTATAACAAAGAGGTACGCAAGGCTAAAAGAAACGCATTGCGAAGATGTCTCAGAGACAACCGTAAGCGCCAGTTTCAACAAAGATATAGCCAAAGGCAGTACATCTAGTCAAGTTGCTTTCCATAGAAAGAGTATGATACCTACACTACGACACTAAAGAAAAGTCTAGAGATACTATCTCAGGTACACTTTCCATCCTCAAATATCCTAATAGGTCTAGATTCAGGAGATCAAGAAAGCTACAGTTAAAAGGGAATCAGACCAACTCCAATAGACTGGAAGCTGGTCACCGAGATCTCAAGACTACACAGGATTAGTCATAAAATTCAGAAGGATGAGGATATGTTGATGCCACATCTATGCAAAACCTTCAGATTACACGCCAAAATCATATGGCCCTATAAGTATGTCCTTCTTTTTACTATAAACTCTAGAAAGGTTGATAGACAGATATATCAGGGATGATATAAAAATAAAATCCGCTCCATCCCAATCAATATGCAGAAAAATACTGACCTAAGACTGCTTTCAAAGTCAATAGATGACAAAAGAATCGCAATAGCCACGTTCTTTGATATCGAATAACAAAGGCTTTAGAACAGAGAAACGTCGCAGTCACAAAATGCCAATGGATCATTGCCAGCCTAGAGAACAGGATCATTTTATCCAGTCTAGGAGTGACACATGGCTGTCCACAAGGAGGAATATTATCTCCAATAACCTGACCACTTCATGACGTGGTCAATTCTAGTGGACAACCTACTCAAAACATTGTCCAAAGAAGGCTACCAGTGCCTAAGATACACAGACAACCTAGCAATTATCGTTAGGTGGCGAGTTGCAGGCACAATCTCGGAGCGATCTCAAGCAGCTCCAAACATAGTAAACAACTGGTGTAAAAAGGAGCAAATGTTCATTAACGCATAAAAAACAACAGTTGTACCATTCACAAATAAAAGGGTACTTACAGTACTAAAATAACTAGTACTAAACAACATGGTTATTCCATTTGTCACAGAAGCCAAATACCTTGGAGTCATATTCGACCAAAGGCTGACGTGGAAACAACATCTCAAAAAACTCGAATGCAAAGCTAAGATAGCTTTCGTAAGCTGTAGGAGAATATGTGGGAAAACTGGGTTCTAAGCCCCAAAATAAGTGCCACTGGGGCCATACGTACTACGCCAACTGCAGCAATGGATGTACTATTAAACCTCACGTTGGTGCACATCTTCATACAAGGAGATACCCATGTCCGTTAGTCACAGGCTAATGCAAGGTCAAAACTCAATAAGCAAACTACATAGCGCTGATTATACAAGGCTATATCAGCAAGTAAAAAAGGATGAGATTCTAGGAATGCCTACTGATATAACCATAACCACATACAAATTTGAAAAAACTTTCAAATTCAAATACCAGCCCGAGAATCCTCGAAAAAGGGACCTTCCATACAAGCAGAAGTCGTCTGGTATACAGACGGTTCAAAACCAAGGAAGAAGCTGATGCTGGAAACTATGGAGTCTATGCTGAGGCTAGTGGAACATGCAACATTGCCATACAACACCGTGTAGGAGAAATATTAAATCAGCAAGTCAATACCTTTTTGCCAGACTAACTTAAGCGACATTTGTTCGGCCAAGCAGCTCTAAAGGCAAATATCTTAACAAAAATCCAATTATAACTGATGAAAGACTACCTAGAAGACATGGCAGAGCTAACTAGTCAAAACAAGGTGAGCGTAACCTAGGTATCAAGCCACAAGGGATATTAGAGCAACGAAAAAGTAGAAGAATTAGCTGAAGAAGGCTCAAATAAGGCCAAGACAGGCCCCGAACCGTTCTGTGGAGTTGCTAAGGCATTATACAAGACAATCAAACAATTGATGCAATGGTGAAACAACTATTCAAGACTGAGGCCAAACAATTCATCAAGGAACCATCGGTCAAGTTCACGAAAGATCTACTGGATCAAAAACGTCAAAGCGTTAGGATAACAATAGGTATTCTTACCTACCGGAAACCATCACCTAAGAAGGCATATGAATGTCATCAATCCATCAGAAGAAAAGCAACTTTGTGCAGGTTCTGAGAAGAAGAGGAAACATCAATCCACGTCCTGTGCCAGTGTGAAAGCCTGGCTAGATTAAGGTTTCTAACATTAGGCGAAGAAAAGCCAAATGAATAAAAAAAGACCAAGCTAGAGGACATACTCAAAAAAAACGGAGTCCCACAATAGATCTGGAAAGGTCGCGGTGGACAAGGACAAATAATAACGTCCAACTCTTTTTAAATCTAATCAAATCTATTGTTGATTAATTTGTAAAACCACATAGTATCAAATAAGCTCAATCGTATCCATTGGATTTATTATTTAAGTATATTTTAATTTAGAAAAATTGTGTTGAATAATTGTTTTAGTCCAATTCATATACGTCTATGTAATAGGTTAAAGTTTAATATCTATAGAAAACCTATCACTACCAATGGCCTAATCATTTTCGATTACTACTACCACCCATTTGACATAAAAAAGCATCCCATTCCATACCATTAGCAAGCTTTAACATGTTTGAAAAACTTTTACTAAAGATCCTGTGGTTGTGGTTGTGGTTGTGGTTGACAGACTTCGTTTTTCTCATTTCTTCTTAAAATTTAAAGACTTTTACCATTATGTTTCAAATTCTGTTAATAATTGCACACAAAGTAAAAGTTTTAACACAAGTGATAAAAGTGAATCACTTACTTGTACGAATAGTTATGTTCTTTGTTTAAACATTAGACTTTAAATCTCCAATCCGTCATGTTCGAGATGGAGTGCAACAGAGGAATTGAAAATTACAACGAAATTACCGATGAAACAAATGCTGCAAAAGAAAAAGAAGAAAAGCGGCTGTCAACACCGCAGGAAATTAAAAATATCATACTGAAGGGACAAATGAAATACGTCAAAGATATCAACGCAATAATTTATTTGTGTAGTCCAGTGTAAGTAGATTTTCAGTTCTTTCTTATTCTTACATGAAATTAAATCCCCCCTATGAGTTTTGTAAGTCAAATTCTGAATCAGACTGTACAATTATATAAAATACTGTTATGATTTTAAGGATTAACGATCTGGACGACTTAGTAGATCAGGCACTCTATTTAAACGATCTAAATCCACATGGGTTAAGCAAGGAGCTAGTGTTGGCTGGATGGCAACATAACTCACGGTAATTTATGATTAATAACCGTATTAACAAAGCATTTTTAAATAGTGTAAATCTTTAAAGAAAGAAACGTCCACGTCATTTCGTCATCGTGCGATATTGCTATCATATCCACTCTTGTTGCACAAACTAGTATTCTAGAAAACATATAAAGATAAAAATAAATTAATAACAATTAGTGGAACATCGCCCCACTCTATGGATATTCATTATTATGACCTTTCTATCTTTAAGGTTTTACATATGGGTAAATTTAAAGATGCTTTGTAAGTTAGGTTATACCTGTAATATTTTGTATTGTAGACTTGAAGTGATGTTTGATAAAGCAGAACAGAGATCTGATGAGTTGGATAAAAATTTCCAACTGTTAGAATCATGGAAACGTAGAGGTGACGAACTTTTATATTCGATGATTCCCAAATCTGTCGCCGATCGATTGAGATCTGATAAATCGAGTCTTACTACTTGTGAGGTAAACGAACATGTAATTTCGAGCAAGAAATTAGCTAGAGTCTCGAAATAAGAAAATTTTAGTTTAAAAATCGTGATATGTTTGACCACCAACAAAACCTAAAATATTAAAAACAATTTAGAGACCGAGTGTCCGCCCAAGTTAATATTGTAAACATTTTCCAAAATTACATGAACAATAGTATTGACCAACGTAACGTTTGACCACTTGACCAGCCATTAGATCCACCCCTTAAAATAATTTCAAAAGGGAAAATTATCATCCGAGTCAAATAATTTCTACTTTGAAAAAAGTTACTAAGAATGGTCGAAAATGGCACAAAGGTTTAGAATTAGTCGCTTGGTTTGGTGAAGTCTATTACCCACAAAATTATCGAGGTTTTAATCTATTTTAAATTCTGTATCCAACTGTATAGAATAAACTACACATCCCATAATTTTTTTTATTGTTTAGGGATACTACATAAGCGATATGAACTGGAAACTATATATTTATTTCCGCTTATTCCTATACGAAGTTTTAATTGTTTCTGTTTTTTACAATAATAGAATATGCGATATATGTTACATAGAGATGAATAGACCTTTTCATCAAGTGATGAGCGCAAGCGCAGCCGCCATGTTGAAATAGCGCCAATTCAAAAGTTTCGTACTGTTTTGATCAACAATAGCTGGAAAAGCAATATTATTATCTCTACATACAAATCAATCATTAGAAAAAATCGTTTGATGGTGATTTACATTTTTAAAACTCTGTGGAAGCACATAGTTTTGAGCAATTAAAAAGGTTCTTGAAGTGACGTGGACGTTCGGAAGAAGGAAAAAAGTGTGATTGAGAGGTTAGGTTTCAATATTAACTGTGTAAATTAATGAAAACAAATAATAATTATAACTCTATTCTAATTAAATATGCCAACCAACTATTAATAATTACAAAAACACTTTAACATGAAAGTTAATCACGAGTATAATTAATAAGATAAATTATTTAAAATTTTAAGGATCAACATGACATTTTTAATAATATTACTGTGTATACCGAAGAGTATTTAATATTAAAAAATATTGTGTAATACCAGACAAGGATTTTCTTCTGTTGAACCACTTTCTCCATGAAAATGTAGTGAACAAATATAAATATCTTTAGTACCTAACATAGATAAATTAATAAAACAAGATGAATTTTTTAAATGCACTCCACTGTCAACACGTAGTAGTTCCCAGCATACTATTAGTTAGCGCCACCATCGCAATAGTATGAAAGCGATGTTGCCGGTTTCCGTAAACTTTCATGAGATGAGAGTTATTTCAAATTCATCTTACTTTAATTTTTTATCATTCTACATGCGCACCATAGCATCCATACAATGTCCATACTATTGCTGGGATTTTTAAACGAAGGAGTTGACAACCTCGTAAAAAATGAAAAACCGAAATGGCGGAAGGAAGGCTAAATATGATAATGAAATGATGAAACTTATTTTATGAATTATGATGAAAGTTCTAAAGATCGGCAAGTTATTTTTAAAAAGATAAACAATGTTGATTTTATGTAATTAGTAAGTATTAGCAATTTAATTTAATATTAAAGGTGTGTAGATTTATTTAAGGACTTTGTTTATCATTGTTTTCTTAACCTTATATAATTTCATATTTCATGGATTTTCAATTCTGTTTTTATATGTGAAACAAAAAATATCTTGCCCGGGTATAGTTAAGTATTCTCGAGAGTATTCTTGTTAAGCTCCTAATTGTTTTCATTTTCCTTCCGATTTTAAAATTTGCCAGAACTGGTTTAAGACTTTAAATTTAACTTTAGATAATAATACTCGCTATCTTTGTGGAGACCATTTTTGCCTGAGTCTTTTAGTAGGGTTTCATCAAAATGTTAACTGTTAGTTGAACATTCTGTACCAATTTTATTAGATAATTGTGCACCCAGTATTCAGTTCCAATATACAACCTGAAAATTAGATTTTAGAATAAGTTGAGGCTGAAGCACAAATATAGCAGCATAAAAAAAACAATAAATTAGTTGCAAACTTAATAATTAGTGATGAACAATTTGAACGACCCTTGAAACGAAGAAAAACAATAAATAAAAGTAGAGTCAGAAATTTAAGTCCTAAAGAGAAAAAGTTGTATTTTATTAATATTTGTTAAGAGAAATTTTCAATAAGACAACACACGTTTTGTTTTGTTTTTATAGGAAACACCGGACACCCAACAAAATATGGTGCATTTTTGCAAGAATGGGAGAGACTACCTACTATTCATTTTACTTGCAATTGTTATTTAATGTTGAGCTCATGTATGTATGTATAATAAATAATTAAAATATATGTTTCAAATATTTTATTTTAATGTAAATATTTTTTGTTTATATTTTTTGGGGTTTTATTACGAAAAAAAAACTAATATTTATGTTAAATACATTATTTTGATGTAAATATTAGTTTTTTTAGAGTAATGAATGCCAAAAAAAATGTAAATAAATAATAAATTATATTTGAATGAACCGCGGTTCGCTTAAAGCTCTTCTTTTTTATTCTTCTCTTTCTTATTCAGCCTCTAACTGGCAAGTCAATCAGCCAGTGTAGTTAAAAAAAAATCCGTTCCATACTAATTCGCAGCACTATTTGTTTCCAAAAATTAACACGGGATCCGACTATCTTCTTTATTAATTTATCTATGGTACCTAACATCATCCATCAATCGATCGAAAACCTTTCTCGCTTCGACCACATTTTTTCACTCATAATGCTCATTTTGAATATGTTTTAATGTGTATTTTGTCTAATTTGATAGTTTTTTACGATATTGCAGGCAAGTCTTTTTATAAAATATTAATTTATACCGTATGTCACTTTTACATACTCATAACAATACCGTTTAGTTTTTCCTTTCCGTAATGATAACATAATTAATTGATTGGAAAAATTGATTTTTCAATTAATACACTTATTACTTTACTTTTTTTATCCCATTTTTTTAAACGACTATACTTAAAATTAATATTTATCGATTATCATTTTTTTCAAGTGGACATTTTACCATGCTTGTTTCCAAAAAACAGTACGAAAAAGAAGGCGGATACTGACGCATGCGCACAAAAAAAAATTGTGATGAAAAGGCCTATTATCACATGTATATGTTCCCGATCGAATAATTTCACTGAATTTCCCACCAGCGGAACGATCTTGCCAACCTAATCAAAAATGGCAAAGTCATGCGATATTTATCGGCAATACTACGGATTATGTGTATAAAATCAAAAATTACATATATGCGTCATTGGTTGCCTATATCAATTATCAAGACTGAACCGCTTCGCCCGCCCGCTTGCTTGTTAATTTGAGAGTTCACAGTGATTTAGTAATTATTTACTGATTATCTCCGACCTAAGAAAGTTGGTGGAACATAGTCAATGGGTAGTCAAACGCATTCCGTTTTTAAAACTAAAATTTTCGATTTCTCATTGAGATTTTTAAGGAATTTTTTCTATTTTTTTTCGTCACAAATAGTATTCCGATTGTTCTTTACATTTTCAGGCCTTCGAATCGGTGAGCATCCTGTTCTGCGAACTGGTTGGACTGACTTCTGAAACCGTCAGAGAAACTATGGTCGTAGTTTCAACAATGAACACAGTTTTTTCTTTATTCGATGCATTGATGGACAAATTTCACGTCTACAAGGTGATTAAATATTTTTTTTTAGTATATCTACGAGTTTGTGAGAGCGAGTTTTTTTTGGATTTATAGGTTGAAACCGTTGGACAAGTTTACATGGTTGCCAGCGGAGCTCCAGAACGGACGCCACTGCACGCTCAAAATATCGCTGATTTGGCTTTGGCTATGTTGAGCGAAATAAAGCGAATAAACTTGAAGAAAACTGTAGTCGATGTTAAAATAGGTAAAACATATTTTAATAGTATATTATGCAACGATCATGTAATGATAGCTATTAAGATACGAGCTTGAGGTAAGTTACGACACGACCCGCTGGTGGGGTTAGTTTTATAAAGTTTGATTTGTACCTATACGAGGTATATTTGTATGTTCAGTTGTAGCAGATAAAGCTGAAGAAGAGATTGACTTTTACCCATAGATTGTTCGAATGATTGTTTTGTAAAAAAATCTAATTTACTTTCTAAAATGTGTATCAAAATCAGTTAAATAGCTCCTTTGAAGTCATGTGAAGGCTACAGAGGGAATCTATTATGGTTTTAGATTTAATTATGAATTTTCTGACCAAAGATGAGTTTGCTTTTTCCATTTGAGCGATCCCATTATTATTTGTCTTTTATTATTGAAACGTTTGTCGAGTATTTCGAGAGCAATATCAAAATTATCGTTAGTTTTTGAATTAATTGATGGGGTTCATCAGCAAGAAAAGACTTTAGATATAATAACTTCTCAGCATTTGATACACTTGAATTTTTAATGATTAAAGCATTGAACAAATCGATAAAGCTAGTATATTCTAGAGCAGTGATCGCCAACCTCTCAATTTGTTGAGTTACTTTGTTAATTTTGGAATAAACAGTGAGCTACCCACACGGAAGCCACGTAACGCAACGTAAATGAAATAATACACAGTTAATTTATCATTATATGTATTTATTTTACTATTTAACTGGTAATACATAATATATAGGTACTAATAATAAACTAATAACAAAATAACTAATATTACTAGTACGTACTTGTTCATAGCTACATTCCTACCTACCAAACGAAGGTGTTTGAAAAATAAACACAAATTTTTATCCAGCCACAACGGCATGTCACGTAAGATTTAAAAATAGTTAATAATAACAACAAAAAAGTAACGCACTATCATGAACATAAACATTGAAAAATAAAAAAGCACGTTCAATGAGAAGGCTGACACTCAGACTCATCGATAATTTTTTTAATGTTTGCAGTATAATTTGATACAGCCATTCGAATACAATTATCCAAATGTTCATCTGTAAGTCGATTGCGACATTTGTTCTTAATAAACTTCACATTGGAAAAAGAAGATTCACACAAATAGGTTAAACTGAAGCTTTCACTTTCAAGGCAACACGGCATAGAACTGAATATTTGTCTTTACTTACAATAGGCCAGATACATTTGGTACTTGAGACTAACGATTTTAAGGCTAAATCATTTTGAAACTCAATTACTTCCATTTCTGTTGCAGCGATGTATTCGCCAAAGTTCTACATAACACAAGTAGCAAACTGTTGGATATCAATTTCTATAAAGGGTCAAACAACAAACTGCGCTACTAAAGCCATTTCGTTGAAATCCTTAAAACGATTTTTGAAGTTATTCTTCAGGGTGGAAACTATTTCTACATGATATTTGCTGTCATAGGGTTCTAATGGATTTTAAGATATGTTTTCTGAAAGAATAGGAAAATGCTTGGCATCGCTGTTAATTAGGTTTTGTTCCCAAAACTCCAGCTTTTTGATAAATGCTTTTATATCAGAAATCATTTCCGCTAGTTTTTTGTCTCTCCCCTGAAGCTGCAAATTAAGTTCGTTTAATTTCTCTGTAATGTCCACGAGAAAACCAAAATCTCTAAGCCAGATTGAATTTTCTAGTTCCGGAGTCGGTTCATCGCGTTGTTTGAAAAATTGAACTATGCCAGATAGGACATCATTAAAACGTTTCAGCACCCGTCCTCTACTTAACCATCGGACTTCAGAGTGAAGGAGTAGGTCCCCGTATTGACAGTCAACTTCATCGGCCAAGGTTTTGAATAATCTTCTTTGTAACGCTTGAGCTCTAATCTTGTTCACAATTTTTACCACCAGTTTCATAACGTTGTTTAGTTTCAGGAAATTTCCACATAATGCTTGCTGATGGATAATGCAGTGGTAACAGAGAAATTGCGGAAAAGTTTTATCTTTACGACATTACGCCACCAGACCCTTATCACAACCCACCATAGCTGGAGCGCCATCGGTTGTCAAGCCTACCATTTTCGATATTGGAATTTTCTCGGAAGAAATAATATTTTTTAAATGAGAAAAAAACTCCTGTCCAGTAGTGTGTCCTTTCAGTGGAATAAAGATCTTCTTTAATCGTAAAATCACTAAAAACCATCCTGACGAACACGGTCATCTGGGTAGTGTCAACGACATCTGTTGATTCATCCAGTTGAAGTGAAAAATAAACACAGTTATCTAAGTCAGTTCTTAACTGAAAAAAAAATATCAATGCTCATTACTTCTACACGTCTCATCACTGTATTAGCAGAAAGTTGCATAGATTTTATAGCTGAAACTATCTCGTCTTTATTTCTAAAGTTGGCAAATAACGAATCAGCAGCTTCTAAAAACGCCTGTTTTATCATTTCCCCGTCTTCATAAGGTTTCTTTTTTTGTGCAATTATCTGGGACACACGGTACGATGCTTCAGTTGCAGCCTTATTGTTGTCGACTGTTCTTAAAAATATTGATTGTTGTCCAATAAACTACTTTTTTTAACTGTTTCAGTTTCTCCTTTCTGGCGGCAGAATGTAGCCGATTCTAGCTTGATGGCGTCAGCGGCAGATCGCTCAATGTTTTGAGCAATGTTGTTTTGATGTATGACTTGTTTAGTTTCAGGTCGTAATTTACTAAGAGCATCTTTTGCTTCTGCTTATATTTGAATGTATGCATTTTCAAAAGATTCGCGATCTTCTTCGTCGACAAGTGATTCTTTTTGAGAAATTCAATAGTCTATTTAGTTTTGAACAGTAGTATATTTTTCAAAATGTTGTTCTAAATAAGAGATTTGCATAGAAAGTGATGTAATGCTTAAATTTTTAGAATATAAATTTGCATGCATCCAATTTTCGATTCTAGTTATTTGTCGTTTTGCTGAGGACCTATTTTTTAGTTTTTCCATTTTTGTGGAAAATTATTAGCTTTTTTTAATTGCCTAAAATATGTTCTATCTGATAATAAATATGTAGTATATAAACGATAAATATTACGCAATATAAAGAAAGATACATGCCTATTAGTGAACAAATGTTTTTGTAAGAATGTATTAGAAATAGTAAAAATGCAAGCCCTAGTAAAAATAGTTTGATTATTGTTAATGGAAAAATATGAATGACCACTGTGGGTATAGTTTTAAAATATTGTAGACAATGAGAAAAATGTATAACATTGATTTTGAATGTTAAAATGGAACAGTAACTTGTCTAAACAAGTATAACGCAATGATAAAAGGTTGTTACACAATATTTACATATATGTAACAAGTTCCAACATCCAACCATTTACTTGTTATGTAGCAATGTTATTTTATAAAAAAAATTAAACAAATAAACCTGTCTTTGCTTGTCACTTTATTTTAAAATACGAGTAATTATTATTATTATTATTTTTGCACTGAAAATACCGCATATGTTTAAAGATTTTAGGACTTTTTCAAATAATTATTGAGTTTTTGAAGTAATAAGAAGTGGTTATTTTGTTGGTTGTTGTAACGTGTATTTATTTTATAATCAATTTTTATTAAGTTAAGTTAACTTATGTTTTTTAAAATAAAATAATAATTTGTATATGAGAATTTTGAATAAAATGTACTATTTATGCAATTCAATATTACTTTTATGCATTGTTGGTTACATAACTTTATTCATATCATTGAAAATCATATAATTTATTATCAACCACTTGTTGTAGGATGTTTATTTTATTAAAGTTTTTAGTTTAAAAAAAAAATAAATTATTTTATCTTGTATGGAGTAAATTAGTGTTTTGCTTATTTTGTTAAGATTTTGAATATAAAATAGGGACCGAAACAGAATGATTACTAGTTCTTTCGATATAAACTTTCAACAACAATGTATATATTGATTATAAAACAAAAATAAGGTTTATTTTTACTTGTTAACTTTTCACAACTGGTGACAATGAATTTCTCGTAACCACTTACATAATGTTCAACTTTATGTAACTGGTTACATAAAGTAGCTCATTTTGACACTTGCTCCCATTACGAAAAATGTCACTTTAGTTTAAATCAGAAAGAAATGTTTTTTTTAATAACGTTTGTTGTAATACTTTTAGGTATTCATTCTGGATCAGCAGTAGCAGGTGTAGTTGGAATAAAAGTACCAAGATATTGCTTTTTTGGCGACACTATCAATACTGCTTCTAGGATGCAGTCATCTAGTGAGGTAACCACGTCTATAATAACTAAGTGTAGCGTTTATAAAAGAAGTAATTAATAATAATAATAATAATACTCTCCCTAATTCACCCCCTTACGAGTGAATTTCAATCCCTGAAGTCGACTGAACGACTTGTGTAGGGGAAGAGACGGCTATTATTATTATTTGCCGTGGCGCTCCGGAGCGACTTAAAGATAATTGATGGTGCCGTTTGACTTACAGGTGAGGAAAACCCGGAAAACCTCACCCACCATCATCGAGACGGTAATGCATGGCGATTTTTTAATCTGCATGTCATATCAACAGAAATTGAATTTCTATTAATACGGCACACATCAAATCCTAAACCGAAGCATGCAATTTAATTAAAAATCCACATGGTCCGGTCTGGGATTCGAAGCCCAGCAGTCTCAGACTCATAGACTTGCCTATAAATGAATATAAGCGCGTTAGACCGCTACACTACCGACCCAAAAGTAATTGTCCTGGAGATTTAGTTGATCAATAAATTGATACAACAAAATACCAATAATATCAGTGTTAACAAAAGTATAACTCATTTATAACTACTTTTAATACACAAAATTGAGATTGGTAAGAGTGTCTTTTTGTTTGCCCCAATATGGCGGAAAATCTAATCCGGATTTACAGATTTTTACTCGTACTATTTCTGGTTAAAAAATCTCCATAGACCAAATATCAGCGACTATTTCTCTAGAGAAACAGTCAATATTAGTACTAGTAAAAAAGTCGTCCCAAATATAACATGATCTTGAGTAATAGTCTGCAATTTTAGTTGTTGCTAAATTTATCGAATATTTTACAATTTGATTCGACATGATTTTGGTAATCAATTGATTACAGTGCGTGGTACTGTCATACCTTGTCCAATTCATTGTAAAATAGATGACGCGTTCAGATTTTCGTACCTGTATACACAGAAACCGCATTTTTTTCTGAGTTATTTCTACTATTTTTTAGCCAGGAAATATAAATATTTCCAACTCCATGAAAGAACTGTTACCAAAAAACAAGTACAACATCCAAAGTCGAGGACTCGTCAAAATTAAAGTATGCTGAAATCAAACATTTCTTTTTAAATATTTAAATTTGTTTCTTTGTGTTGTAGGGCAAAGGAAATATGCAAACTTACTGGTTATCAGAGAAATAAAGTTGATTTCCCATCGTTAGTACCTGCTGAAATAAAAATACCGCTATGTAGACTAAAAAACTATATTTATTAAATTAGAATTAACTGTTACAGTAACAAGCGTCTTTTGTATTACTTTTTATCCAGGAGATATATCGGTTTACCCTCGTATATACTCCGGGGTAATTTGGTTTTGCACAGCCTTCACCCCATGATACTATCCCTGAAACATAAATGTACACAATTACACTACACACAACAGTATTTAAAAAAGAAATGTGTAAAATTATATCAAAATATAAAAATAAGAAATACATAATTCTTTAAAAAATTACCACATACGATAAATAGAAAATAATACTTAAAAGACAAAATATATTTAAATGAAATATTTATTTTAAAAAGTGAATTAAAGTTATATTCTAAAACTTGAAAAAATAACAAAGATTCTCAAAACTTTACTTGCATGAGTTACCTTGTGTAGGTAGTTATAGGTCGACGTTAAATAAAAAAAAAACTGAAATTCTATAGAAAAACTTAAAAAAAATAAAAATATACAGGGTGTTATTGAAATACACGTACATATTAAAACTGGGTATTGCGCAGATCCCCACTGAATGTAGAAAAATATTATTTTTTAAAAATACCCCTTATTAAGGGAGTTATTAATTTTTGAAAATTAATTCTAAAACAAATGTACTTCACTGATATGTTGAGGATGACCTATATAAATTAGGTTTATTTACCTATTTTAAACATCAACAGTAATTAATATGCAAGTTTTTGTCAGATGATAAGAAAACTAGTCTTGTAAGAAATAACCATGTTGCCAAGATTTTCGAATTAATTTCTATTTCCGAAGACTGGTTTTTACTACCCTCGTTATCAAAAAACTAGAATATTTGATAAATGATTGTTTATAAACTATACATTTTTGAAACTATAGATTATTAAAATTTTAGTTGATTTACGAATCTGGCTAACACGAGCGCGTCATTTCCAAGTTGGTAAAAAGTGTTGTTACGATTACTTTTAAATATTTTTTTTACGATGCCACTATTTACGAATATTGAACTAACGGATATAGTGCTGGTTTATGGGGCAGCTGGAGAAAATTCTCGGCAAGCACAAATCCTGTATCGCGAACGGTTTCCAAATCGGAGAATTCCGGACTGTCGTACGTTTATTTCAACTGTTCAGCATCTAAGAGACCATGGAAAATTTGAGAGTGTCAATGCAGATCGAGGGAGAACAAGAACACAAAGAACATTGGCGGCCGAAGAAGAAATATTGGAAGCTGTTGAAAACCGGCCTCAATTAAGTTGTAGAAGACTAGGTCTTGAAATTGGAGTGTCCTCATTTGTTGTGTGGCGGACACTTAAAGAACAAGGTTTACATCCTTATCACATCCAAAAAGTCCAGGCCTTATATCCAGGTGATGAAGAAAAGAGAGTGGAGTTTTGTGAATGGATGATTCAAAAATGTGTTGATATTCCTGATTTTCTAAAAATATTATTGTATACTGACGAGGCTTCATTCACTCGTGATGGCGTGTTCAATATGCACAATACGCATATTTGGAGTGATGAAAATCCTCACGCCATTAGGGAAACTGGGCATCAAAGAAAATTTTCAATAAATGTTTGGGCTGGCATAATAGATCAGTATTTAATCGGGCCTTATGTTCTCCCGAACAGATTAAATGGGCCAGGATATCTCCACTTTTTAGAAGATATTTTGCCAGTACTCCTAGAAGAGATACCGTTACAATTAAGGCAACGGATGTGGTATCTACTAGATGGCGCTCCTCCTCACTTTGATTTAAACGTACGGCAGTTTTTGAACATTAGATTTCCTCAAAAGTGGATAGGCAGAAATGGACCTACTAAGTGGCCTCCGAGATCTCCGGACTTAAATCCATGCGATTTCTTTTTGTGGGGTCACATGAAACAACTGGTTTATAATGAACCTATTAATAGTGTTGAACAATTAACCAATAAAGTTAATGCGGTAGCCGAGGAACTACGACAAAATCCAAGACTAATTTCTAATGTTCAAAGTTCTTTGGAAAGACGATTGCAAGTGTGTGTAAATAATAATGGACGGCATTTTGAACAATTACTGTAATAAACTTTATTTTGAATTAATTGGTTTTGCTACGGCAACAGTGCAATTTCTATGGGTAAGTTCAATTTCGATTTATTTTACTTCTTTAAATATGGAAACTAGTAGGTCGGAAAAGGGGACTCTTCCCCAATATTTAAATTTTAGAATTTGAAGTTAAAATTGGTGCCAATCGTTTTTGGTCATTACATACTATTCCCCATTTTAATATGTACGTGTATTTAAATAACACCCTGTATAAAAAATAAAAAACTAAAAAAAAAACTATCAGTCAGTTCAGATCATGGTAAATAGTATAGTCACGTCAAAAAACTAACAACTCATTTAATTTGAATTGTATTTCTTTATTATACCCGTATCTAACTAATCCAAAAAGGCTAAAATTCTAAGAACTGAATAAAAATACGTACTGAGTAATTAGTAAAGATACTTTGTTGTTGATGTTAATTTTTTTAAAATGCAAAGAAAAAAGAAAAACAAATTATACGTGATTTGCTTACCTACAATTTGATGTACTGTCCCATTTTTTGTATGAAGAGGGCCACCACTGTCTCCCTAAAAAATGAACAAGATGAATAAAAACTTTTTTTAATTAGATATTAATATTTTTTCTACACCCACATGGATATTAGATAATCTACGCACAGATTACAAAACGAAAAAGTATGCTATTGCGTTCAACTGAACGAATATATTTCATATCCATTCTAGGCAGTGAGAACACTGCAAAAAAATTAAATCAATCAACCACAGTTCAGAGTTTGGACAATACTAGTATTGTAGTGCTTCGTACTACATATTACTCTTCTCTCTGTCATAATTACGTTGATAGATAAATGTTATAACCTTAAACCAGTCCTCTATCAACGTAATTATGACAGAGAGAAGAGTAATATGTAGTACGAAGCACTACAATACTTCCCCACAGAGAATACCTATATAATATTAAATTCTCTTTTAAAATTCTTTTATTAAAAGGCCAAGAACACGTAACTTCGAAAAAATAGAAAAATAAAAATAATTTGTTGATAGTTTCTTGTCTCTTGCTGTTCTGTTCTTTCTTTTTTTTCCATAGCTGTCCACCACACACTCCATTGTTTTTCCACCTACTACACCACAAATCAAAAACAGATGTGACTTCCAATGTCATCAACTTTGAAGTTCTATGACATTGGCAGGAAACAGGATTGAGTCTCATGCCACCACGAAACATTCTAAAGTGCCATTCACATAACAAAAATAAAACGTCGAAATGTGACTGGTTTAAGGTTATAACATTTATCGATCAACGTAATTATGACAGAGAGAAGAGTAATATGTAGTACGAAGCACTACAAATAACTTATAATAATTTTATAAATTTGTAGATTTTCGTTAGTGGGTCGTAGAAAAAATATACTGTGCAACTCGTCTGGATTGTCCATTACCACTTTTGTTGCACAAACTACTATTTTAGTTTTACCTCCTTCGTTATTCAAAACAAAGGTAAAAAACGTTCGACCCGGTCAAATTTTTTTTAATCGAGGCATTTAACATTCTCTCCACCTAACACTCATCTCCTTAATTTTTATTATTTTATGAAATGAAGTAGAGACGACACAAGCACTATTTTGCGACAGAATAGGTGAACGCGCTATTTAAAAAAAAATGTATTTATTCTCACCAAAACTGACTAGCTCCACTAGCTAGAGTTTGACATATGACGTACAATTGTAATGCAAAAGTGCAGACACTTTCAGTACTCTCATAGCATCTCCTCTTTATTATATATCAATGATTGGAAATATTCATATGTCCCGCCTTACTCCCACCTTGATTATGTTCGATGCATAAAATAACGTGATTTAAGTGATTTTAAGCAGACACATTGTTTATTTCACGGATCTTAACATGTTGACCTCTCTTTTTAGCTACATGCTTTCACGAAAACCTCTCACTCCCTCGTGCTCACTCAGAATAGTGCACCTTAATGACGCGATTGGCCAGGGCACAGTGGCGTACCAAATAATAGAGAATTTATATTTTTATGTTATTTATTTTAAAATAATATATTTTAAACTGGGTTTTCTCTGCACAAATAAACTAATGGAAAAACTGGTGTCAGAAGTGGGATTGTAAATAAATAGTGGATAAAAATGGCTAAAAACTGTGTGATTTAAAAGTGTCTGTGTTGCGTCGAGAACTAGAGGATCGTGATCTGGAATCGACAGAGACGAAAGCAGAGCTGGCAAGGTAGCTAAAAGCACTAGAAAGTGAAGGGTTGAACTTGGAAACGTATCTAATTTCTGATGAAGCGGCTTCTATAATTTCTTCTACGAAAAGTAAAATCTTTCTCAAAAACCGAAATGTCTTCTAATTTAACCTCTATGAAAAACGATATTTCTTTTAACATTTCTTCATTAGAAACTAAAGTTTCTTCTGATTTTTCTTTTATTAAAAATAATATTTCTTTGTTAGAAGGAAAGCTGTCTTCTAAAATGTCTTCCGTGAAAAACGAAATTTCTTCTTTAAAAACTAAAATTTCTTCTGATATATCTTTAAAAGATGATATTTCTTCCAACTTGGAAAACAAAATGTCTTCTCTAAAAAATGAAATTTCTGCTGGGGACAAAAAATGTCTTCCGTTGAGGAAAAATAAAAGAAATCGAAAAGAAAATAGAAGAACTTGAACATACACAACAGGCCAAGGACGGTGAAATAAAGTGCCATGAGGTGGAGACAAAGTTGAAATTAGAAGGAGCTGTAAAATCTGTTCGTGTTATAGCCTCAACTTTTGATGAGAATATGTCATAGACCAACTACCTTAAACAGTTCGAAAGAGCTGCCAGAGCGAACGAATGGTCTGAAAAAGAAAATGCAGTAAATTTAACCATCGTCCTTCGAGGAGACGCTTTAGAAGTCTTTCAGACTATACCTGTGGAAGAGACAACGTAAACAGAGACTAAACATGCAATGTGGCTACGAAAATTTGGAGCATTTATACCAATCACAGTTAAATCGCAAACAGAAACAAGACGAGATCCTTCAAGAAAGAAAAAAATACTGCCATGTTGGTGCGATTTGCCTATCCATCGGCTTCAAAAAACATGATGTAATGGTTGGCAGTCCAAACATTTTTTGATGGACTTCGTGACGACAAAATGCAGAAAACACTCCGCTTAGCCCGTCACAAAACATTGGTCGATGTCTTGTCCGCTGCTCTATAGTATTGGGCAGTTACGCAGGCTTCTGGAGGACCCAGTAAAGTGAAAACTTTAAAAGAAGAAGACATTGAAGATAAACTCGACCTGGTTAACATAATGAAGAGCTTTACTGATAAAAAGATGGGGACGAAGACCAGCAGGTGCTGGAATTGCGATTCACAGTTCGTGCAAATGCCCTAGAGTCACAACAAATGAAGACAACACCGCAGGAAAACTAGAACGAATCGACATAGAGGGTGCAGCTTCGACCCGGAACCGTTCCAGATACCATTTTATACTGCTAGCCTCTTTGAAATGTCGCGATGATAGTGTATACGTAGACGGCAAAGTAAATGGTAGGAAGTATACACTGTTGGTAGATACTGAAGCAACTAGAACCATTATACTACTAACAGCCATAAATAACAGCAAGAGATGTCTACCAACAAGATTGAAAATGACTGTTACAGGTGAAAGTGCCAAAATTCATGGAAAAATCCAGGTTCGGGTAGGAATCGGTACAGAAAAGTTTACTCATTGTTATTGTCGCTGATATCGAAGAAGAATGCAATGGATATAATGAACTTGTATTGCTTCTAGTTCGATTTTAAGAACAGGGTGATCAGAGTTGGTGCTGAAGAGATATTCCTACATCCATATGAGGGCAATACCGTGCCAGTTGCTGTACAGGAGGATACGGTGGTACCTGGCAGAAGTAAAACCATTATATTATCGAAACTATAAAAGAAGGAACACCTGTCATGATGGAATCTTGGAACCACGATGAAGAGGTTGGACGTGGAATTCTAATTGGAAAGGAGTTGGTTACGACTGCTGAAGAAATTCCAGTACGTCCCATAAACGTTAAAGATCATCCAATTACCATCAAGAAAGAGACCAAAATCGGAACATGTATACCAGTAACTTCCATAATTCGTCAGATAACAACTTTTGATAATCCCAACGGCAAATTCGAGCAAATGATTGCAGTTGATGGTCAATTTCTGAATCAATTAGAGAAAAAGAAAATGAAGGTATTTATTTCAAAAGGAGGAAAAACAGGAAGTACTTCTGTTGTAAAACATAAAATTGACACTGATGACGCCAGGACGATTCGTCAATCAGCTCGAAGATTTTAAATGCCAAGAGAGAGGAAGGTGAAGGACAGGGGCGGTTTCTTCATTGGTGCAATGATCACCCAGTTACATTTCATAAAAAACACATTACACAAATAACCTTTACTTATTTATATTTAAATTTCAAGCTATATGGACACAGTCCCACCATTTATACAAAAAAACATCCACGCGTCGGACTGCGTTACAGAGAAAACATTCTAGTCTATTTCTCGAGTCTTGAGGCAAGCGGCAGCGTGGAAACACAGAGTTAAGATTAACAAAGAAAAGAGCCGAACCGAATATGAAAGCGGCTTCGCACGACAATAGGACCGATCATATTTCACCTTTGTTTTAAATACCGAAGTATAAAAGGTAAGGTGATACTTTTGGTCTTCAAGGTGTATATCTGAAAATGTGAAACGGTTTGTTTAGCCACCCAGCACCTATATAGGGGCACTCTCGAGGGGTACACCTCAGGACCAAATTTCTACACCTAATTCTCTTTTATTATGCGTATACAATTACTTTATTGTCTGTAAATTCCTGCAATTCCTTCGCTAATTTCTCATCAATTCCATATCAGTCCCTACGATTCTTAGGTAATTCCCTGTCATTTCTAACTATTCTCCGGTAATTCCATATTAATTCCCATAATTGCTATAAACCTGTTAATTCCCTAGCCCTGTATATCTAATTTCCTCTGTGATTTACCCCTCGGACATAGTGCGTCCCGAGAGAACTCTTAAATAAATATCAATTTCTTTAAAATTGGATAATAAATGTGAAATATGATCAGATCTGGCAGATTGTCAAATAAATCGATAACAACTGAAAAACGAAAAAACATGAAAACATGTTAAAAATGTAATTTTGTATTTACCTGACACGAATCTTTTAATCCTCCGGTATATCCGGCGCACATCATATTTTCTGTTATCCTGTCACCATATCCCGTTCTCTTACAATCTACATTTGATAAAATAGGAACTCTAACTTCTCTCAATTTGTTGGAAGTTTGACCGTTTTCTTTGGTTGCTCCCCAGCCAGTGACTATACCTAAAACATACCAAATAAATAAATAAATATTATAAAAAACACCTTCTCATCTATTCGCGATTCAAGCTAAGTGATACGCCCTCTGGAGGAAATTTGTAGAAGGTCCCTATAAGTAGGATATCGTTCAGTGTTGCCAGAAGTAGCAAAATTTTAGCTCTTGAAGAAGTGGATAAGATCTTTTATTTAAGAATCAAAATTTGTGTCTAGTAATATGTTTCATACTTTATATTTATTTAAGGATTTTTTTATAAAACCGATTTATTATATTGATTTTTTAAAATTTCAGTTCATTTATTAATTTTGTTTTAAAATCAGTTCATCATTTGGCAACATTGGCGTTCATGTTCATTGTTTACATTTTAATTTGTATCAATTACAATTCGAGTTTTTTCTTACTTTTTAGCTTTAAATTCGTTTATTTCTTATAGTATATGATAGTGTTTATATTAAATTGCAAATTGCAATCTCTATGGTGTTAATGTCAAAATTAAAACTGAAGTATTCATTATTTTCCAAGTGTAAGTCGTAAAATTTTGTTTCTTATGATAAATTGACATGATATCTACAAATTCACAACATTGAAATTTTGCAAAACTTTGTTTAGAATCAAACTGTAATCTGATTTGTGAGGGTTTTATCACCATTTACATGTATACAAAATACTACACAATTCACTTCTTAATATAAGAATAAGGATAGTAAGATGTTTAAATAAGTTTATCAATAATAAACGTTTGGTAGGTACCTAAAATGTCCTTTAAACCACATAATAAAACATGTCCTGGGTTTAGTAAATACATATTTCTAGATGTTCTTGTAGTAACCAATAGGTGAATATTTCCAACAAATTAAGTCATTCACATGATAAATATTATATTTATGACGAAAACACGAGGAATAAACTTAAATTAACACTAAATGAAACTCAAAAACACTATTACAATGAGAATATTATCTAAAAACAGTTAAAAAAATCATAAATACAAAATCCGCCCAAAACAAACACATGTAAATAAACAAACATCCTACCTATAGGTGACAAATGAGAGGCGCGCGAATATTAATTTGAATCGCGAATAATCAAAAACTCCAAGATTTTTGACAGGGCGTGCGTTTAAAAGTTATGAATTGATTATTCTGCTCTGAATACAGACCTGTAGTTAAATGTTAAAATAAAGTTATGCTACACAAATTAAGAATATGGTAAAGATTGATAGATAAAAAAAATGTTTCTAAAGACAATGACCGGTACAAACAAATTATTATCAATCATTTTTGATCTGTTTTTAGATTACAGGTTATTCGTTTTTGAAAAAAATAAATGCTCCCAGTAATGATTAATGATGAACGGAGACAATATTTTTTATAAAAAAATTAATTAAATTTGAATAATTATGTTTCGAAATATATCTCGCGTAAAAGTCTTGCAGCGGTACCTCACGAAACTAATTTTTTAGAACACCATCTACGTAGAATTCGATTAAATCCATTTGAAGATATATTTTCACTTGCAATTCATTTCTAAGTCGACAAATATGATACCGCAGATTTCGAAAACACAAATAACTGATTTTTTCCAGAAATACACGGCAGAATAGTACCTACATGATATTATAAAAAAAAGTATGATATTACGATTGATCCTATACGTCATGGTGACGTATTGTGGTGAAAAGCGTAGCTTTTACGAATTTGAGGTATCAGCTGATCGAAAACAGCACGCGAAAATAATTTTTTTTTCTCCTTAGAATATTGGGCCTTCAAATCTACAGCACTGGCAAAAATTTCGAAGAAAAAATCGCAACAGCAAATTTTTAACAAAAAAAAAACGTTTTTCTGAATGTTAGTTTAACACCCTGTAACTTTGTTGGGAGCCAGTTTTTGATATAGGTAAATATAGTCAAATCCATTTATTTTTGGTAATCTATCTGAGGATGAATTTATGACATACCTTTTTGAAACACTCTGTATAATATCTATAGGAAAATGAATTTCATTTTGAATTGAATAATGCAATGGAAATATTTTACCGACAATGCTGAAATAATTCACATATTACTTGTTAAAAAATCTTTTTTTTTTAATAAACAAATCAATTTAACGCATGACAGCAACATTTCCAATCAGTTCTTTTATAAAAAAAAAGGATATGTGGAACATTAAACAATAATTTGACTAATTTGGTGTCAATATCATATTGATTATATTCAATTGATTGTTAAATTAGTAACATTATAATAATAAACCATAAAATGAAGAATCCTTTATTATAATATATAATATTATATCTTACCTTGAATTCCAGAAAAACTTTTTCCAGTTGGAGGCAAGCAAACTGGTCTTAGCAATCCAGAAAAAGGCACTTCTTGCTCTAATTCTATAATCGCTATATCATTATTGTAGCTACCCCCAGTTCCGTAACCCCTGTGCCGGTAAATGTTTTTAATTTTTCTCATGATCGTATTTGTTTCAAAAGAGTTGGACCTGTCGTGGTCAAGGAATACAGCAGTGATCTTGTCTTTGTTAAATCTAAAACAACCTTTTTTAAGTAACTAAATCATTGAAATTGAAAGTATTAAAGTAAGATGAATCCAGAAAATGGATAAAGAGTCAGATTAGATCATGAAGAATTAGTAGAAATGCTTACCCATTGACGCAATGACCAGCCGTAAGACAGTACCTACTGTTAATCAAGGATGCACCGCAGTAGAATCTATTGTTGTACAAAAGAGCAGTCATCCAAGGATATTCGTTTACCATTGTTTCAATACCACCAACGATTCTGACGTTTTTGAAAGACTGGCCGCATTCTAAAAGAGAATTAAAAGTCACGGGTTAAAGACAGGTCAGGTTAAAAACGAATGGGATGTGCTCATAGCCTTCCACAGCGGCCCAGGTAAGTTCTATTGCTAAGGAGGAGGTTATTTAGATCAATTTGTAGCTACACAGTATTTTCAACTGTTAATTATGAAGAGCCTGTAAGCTGAAACTTTTTGGTATGTATCGTGGTGTAAATATATGAAAAGAACTTACTACAAGGCGGACAATTTTTCATAGGTTCAACAGTCGGTGCATTAGGATCAGGTTGTCTTATCCCAACCAATCCCAAGAACCAATCAAAAACATTCGCCTTCTGGGGAGTGCCGAAGAATTGGTGATGGATGTTACTGCCGTTTTTCCTTATAGTAATAGGTTTGGTTTCCACTACATTTTCCGTTACCAGATTACTTATAGTGTCTTCGTCTGTTTTCGCTGGTGCTCGGATGATGGTATTTTTGTACACCGTGAATGGTTTTTGGTATGGTTTGTATATTTTGGATGGTTTTCTAGGTAGTGCAAAATTGTCTGGTAAACTGGGTTCGTTGGAGTTAATGCTTCGTTTTAGGTTGTTGTAAAGGATTTGGCTTCTGTATGGGTGCAGGTCATCGTGGAAAATCTGAAAATGATGAAGTTAATTAAATTTTAGGGAAGCATTCATTAGTCAGCCATAATTTGGTTTCTAACCTTAACGAATTTTCATCATGTTTAGTTTTCCAGAAAATAGAACTGTGTTCTTTAGAATTCCGAGAAATTGGTTCCAAATCAGCATTGACTGAATTTTTTGTATTAGGAATATCAAAAGATGCAAAGCAATGTAAAAGCTGAATATCAGCGGCATAAAGTCGTAGTTGACTTTTATACCTGTGGCAAATCTAAAGTGTAAATAGTAAATAATAAAGGACCTAAAATAGATCCTTGAGTTACAGCTAAAATGATCATTTTGGTGGATGATAAACTGTCGTTGATGGACACGTGGTCAGAACGGTTTTATAAATAGGACTTAAAAAAAGATAAAACAACATCATAGCATCAATAGTATGGAAGTTTAATGCTGTAACGATAGTCTAATTTATTTAGAGTTTATTTATTTAAAACACACTGTTTACAATTTATTTATGACGTACTAATTAATTTATATAATACTAGACACACACTCACAATTCTAATTTATTTATTACAATTTAACTTTTCATTCTAATACTTTTTAGTAAACTAAACTGTCTGCCAATGAGCCGGGCTATTTATACCAAGTCCAACTCTGCTACGAAAAGTCTTAGACGCTCCCGAAAATTCCATCTCTGACTCAACGGTACGCATCACTTGTTCCAGCCGTTTCTCGAGCATAAGCGGCATACCTAGAAGATTCCGTCGTTTCGAGCATGAGTCGCGTGGCAAGCTGAAGGTCGCTTGCTTTAGACAGAGACGGCTTAAGATTTTTCATGACATTGTCCCTCACTAAGAAATAGTTCCTCCTGGAACTAAAACTAAATGGTTGTATTTGCAACTAGATCCTCTTTTACAATTTCCAGTTGCATGGAAGTAACAAGGGACAGTCTTCGTTATAACTTGAACGCTCGGAGAATGGCTGCAGATCAGTATTTCAACCTGGGTATCCTTAAAGATTACTTCCACCATGTTTCTAATGATCCTCCAATTCAGCTGGTTGCTATCTATCTTTGGCTAGTTTCTGTACATTGGACTCCAGTACATGCTCCCTCAGACTGAGTAATGCTTCCCATACATCATGATAGGTGGATCGATCTCGTAAAGTGTTCTTTGTTACCAAATTGAAAAGATAACGCGATCCATCTTGAAGTTTTAATGATTTTCCAGGGGCTAGTAACTGATCTTGAAGTTCTGGCAATCGAACAAACTTCTTCCGGAATACAGATGCCAGACCTCGAGGGTCGTAAATGTTGGCTATGGACCAGCGAGTAGTCTTTTGGAACCATGAGCAGATCTTGTTGTTGCTCGGTTGTAACACCATGTCTTGCTTTTCCGTTACCTCCATATGCACCCATAAATTATTCAAAGACAAGGTCAGGTGTTACTTGGAGCTGGTTTACTTCTTCTTCCTCTTTATAGTCACCCTCAAATAGTGCCAGCCAATTTTGGTGCGCTACCTTTGGTTTACCGTTCGGGATCTTACTTATATGGTAAATGACATCATTGATTTTTTTCTTGATGAGGTACGGTCCTTCCCAAGATCTTTGAAGCATAACCCTTTTGTCTTTTTGGGTTATGGAGCCAGACTTTGTTGCCTTCCTTGAAACATCCTTTTGTGGCTTGGGTATCGTATCGCTTCTTCATTCTGTCTTTGGCCATTTAAAGATGCGAGTGGACCAATTCATGCATATCGTCCATTCTTCTTCGTAACTGGATCACATAATCCTCACCAGCTACATCTTCTCCAGGTCGGCATCCAAACTCAAGGTCGCACGTTAGTCTCATCTCACGCCCAAACAGGACCTTTGCTGGTGTTTGGCCTGTTGATTTATTGACAGTGGATCTATAAGCCATTGCAACGAGCGAAAGACTGATCCTATTCTCGCTGATGATTTGTAACTACTTTTGACAGATATTTGCCAATGGTCTTATTTATTCGTTCTATCATTCCATGGGATTGTGGGTGCAATACTGTGGTTATGATTTTCTTCATGCCTAGTCTGTCACAGACTCCACGGAAGAGTTGGCTTTTAAAATTTCTGCCTTGGTCACTGTGGATCTCCAAGGGCACTCCAAATCGACAAATAAACTTTTTTATTAACACATCTGTAACAGTTGCGGCCTCTTGATTTGGAATGGCGTAGACTTCCACTCACTTCGTGAAATAATCCATAACCACCATCATGTATTTATTACCATTCTCCGTCATGTTGTATTGCTTCATGAGAGCCTTCCTTTTTCTCTGAGGTCCATTACTCATAGCACAGCTGGTACATTTCTTACACCAGTCCTTTACATCATCGGAATTGTTCATCCAATAAAACCTTTCCCGAACTCTCTGAAGGGTTTTCCTAACACCGAGATGTCCTCCTAATGATCTGTCCTGTAACTGACGAAGTACTTCGGCTATTCTACTCCTTGGAATGACCAACTATCTTCTGTTCTCGGAACCATCATCATTTTCAAATACTCGCTTTAATAAACCATCTTCCAGGATAAAGGAGTCCCACTGAGCCCAAATACGACTTAAAGACCTAAGAAGTACATTCCGCCAAAAGGTTCATAATCAGTGGGATAATCATTGACACAATATAACTAGTTTAAAACTTCGAAAAATTCAGTTAATTGGACATTTTTTTTTTTTAATTAATAATAAATTTTATTGATATAGGTATACAAATAAAATAATAACAATTGTATTAGTTTAACACCAAACAAGGGCGGACACCAGCCTAAACAACTTAATGCTTGTTTTGCGATGCCAGTCCTGTTTAGTGCTTTACAAAATATTATACTTGTTTTAATATCATAAACTAGATTTAAATTTTAAAATAATAACAGAGATAGCTGAAACAGTTCTAATTAATACTAAAAAAAATAATTAAATATGAAGAAAGAAAGAAAGTAATGTAGAATGTAATGTAGGAGATGGAAAATTAAATCAAGAACGGTTTATATATTGTTTATTTGTTAATTTAGTGAAGTATTTTTTTTTATATTATATTTAGTTTATCCCAACCTCTTTGTGTACTGTAACAGATTGCAATTACTCTAAAACTCAACGGGCTTAGAATGATTTGAGTGATAGCATTAGTATTCTTAGATATCCCACTAAATTTGGAAAACTATTTAATTTTCTAAAAGATGTGAATTTATTCAACCAAATTTAAATAAGCATAATTAACCCTATAGTTTTGTGAATTAGGTTTTTCTTCTGTAACTTTTTGTTTTGATGTCAGAATACATAAAAGTTATTCTGTTGTGAGTATAGGTAGTGTGTGTATTTAGTCAAAATCCTTGTAATAGCATAATACAATTGTACCTGTGTCAATGGCCCCTAATGTCGAGACACGTTAATATCAATAAAAAAAAAGCTAATGTTAAGCGGCTATATCTCAGTTCGATTTAATTCAAAAAGCTTTTTTAACGCACCATTAAAAGAAATTTAGTCTACTTTTATTATATGAAGCAATGCCTATACCTATCTCTGCTCTGAAAACGCAAAAAAGCCAAAATGAAAAAAAATTGGATTTTTGTATTTTTGTTTCTCTTTTTAATGTTTTCCCAATTTTTTTTTAAATGTATTAAATCAACTATTTCGATGGAAAATCTACAAAAAAAAACAAAAGTTAATACCTGAATTTTACTTCGTTTTCGAGAAATTGTTAAAAAACTGTAGGGGTTGCATTTTTCAATAGCGCTTCGTGGTTTTTCATTTTTAATGACCATTTAAATGACTCATGTGATAAAAACCCGCCAAGGTGATAGTTTCTTATTGCCTCCTTTTTTAGGACATAATCAATAGAATAATTTGTCCTTGTCCACCGCGACCTTTTCAGATCTATTGTGGGACTCGGTTATTCAGAGTATATCGTCTGGCTTGGTCTTTTTTATTAGGCTAAGTAGCCTTGCCGGTGACCTTCGCATATAGTTAGAAACTTCAATCTAGCTAGGCCTTCACACTGGCACAGGACGTAGATCGATGTTTCCTTTTTGTTCTACACACAACATACATACTTATATGCCTTCCTAGGTGACAGTATCCGATAAGAAAACCTATTTGTCGTTTTTGGTCTTTCGGTAACTTGGCTGATATTTCCTTAATGAAATGTTAGCTTGTCTAAATCCTGTACAGTTGTTCCACCATCCTCGAAAGTCTTTTTGTATCCATTGTTTGATAAATGCCTTAGGAACTCCACAGAAGAATTTGGGGGCATGTCATTGCCTTATTTGAGTCTTTTTGGACTAGTTCATCGGCTTTTTCATTTCCTTGATCCTTCGTGAACTGGTACCCAAGATAATTTCACTTTTTATTTATTACTTAGCTCTGCCAGGTCTTCTAGATAGTCTTTCACGAGTCATGATTTTATTTTTGAGCTGAGAATTACCGTTAGAGTAGATGGCAACTATTTTTGTCTGATACTTGTTCATTTATTATTTTCCTTTCACAATATTGAATGACTTTTTGTTCAGACTGGAACACTGTTGCGTTCGACTTGGGTCCAAAGATTCCAGCACCGACTACCGACTCCTTCCTTGGTTTTTGAATCGTCTATATACCAGACGATCATAGCAGCATCGTTAAGAATATGAAAGGTATCCATTTCCCAAATCTCAACGGAAGCTTAGTCTTTACCACATCAAAGTTTTATTATCAATTGAAAATTTTAAATAGCACTTCTTGGCTTCCTCTCCATATGTGCGCCAGCCATTTTATTTTGCCTATTGTAATAGTAACTGTATTTTTCATTTCAATTCATCTAATTTCTGGTCTCTTCTTTATATAGACATCACAGATTACATTATTAAAATGTTATATTTTTAGAAACGTTCTTCTATATAATCAAGTGAAAAATCTCAGACATGCCATTGCTGTCCGTTAACTTTTTTCTTAACGACGCTGATGGTTTCCCCGCTGATGATGATGATTATTTTCCTATTTGTTATAAT